ATAATAATTTTTTTACATATAATGTTTAATAAATTCAATTTTAAATATATTAATAAATGATTTTTTAAAAGATTTTAAAATTTTAAAACTCATTTTTTATTAACTTGAAAAAATCAAATTTAATAATTTTTTCATTATTTGTTGTGACAAATTATTTAACATAAATCAAATAAAATTCTGTATCAAAAAAATAACCCTAAAATACACACCAATCTTCACGTGATCTGGGAAAATTACATATAGATATATTAAAGGAATGGGAATTTAAAAAAAAGATTTTCAAACACTTTGTTAGCGAATTTCTCTTTATTATAGAATTTATACACCCAATATCAATAATTAACGGTTTATTTTCTTTTAAGTAGTTGATAGAATTGTTACATACTAATTCATTTTTAATTTTTTATGCATTGCGTAATAAAACTTTCCCATATCAAAAATATGCAGAAGTTACATTAAATATTACACAACATTGTTGAAATATAAGTTAGGTTAATTAATATAATCGGATTTTCCAGTGCCAAATCCGGTTTAAATACAATAAGAAGTTAAAAAGGTTGATCCAATGATTCGAAACAGGTATTCTAATTCGTATTTCTAAAAAATAAATTATCTGCAGGCAATGTAATGTTATATTGAATGTCAAAGCTTAGAGCGTTTCAGAATTATAAATTTTTGGTAATTATGCAAAACAAGCTCATTTATGAAAGAAAAAAAATCGTTCAAATGACAAAAAAGGAGCCGAATTAATTTTTTGAACAATGACCTAATTACTTAATATAAATAAGAAATGTCGATCATCTTTTATTGGACCTTAGATTTATTGTGCAAACCTTATTGATTATTGATCAATCTGACGTTATTTTCAGCAAAAAAAGAAAAAAATTGTTGGGTAAAAGATGTAGTCGGTTGGGAATATGTATTACTCGTTTCTTTTCTTTAGTAACAATCCATATTATGATTGATATTTGGCCGGACATATGACAAAAAATTTAATGAATTTTATTCAAGAAGAAAAAAAGACGACAACGCAAAATCTAACATAATCAATCATTGAAAGCTTATAATAATCATTTTTGCAATAGATTTTGGCATCAAATTTCTTTTCAGGATTATTTTTAGGTTACATAACGAGTTTTTTGCGATGAAGGAATGAAAACCAATTTCAAAAGCTTTCAGCACGATGTAATCGATCCATTTTTCATGTCGAAGACAAAAAGGTTTTCAATTTTATCACGAAATTTATTTTTCGTATAACAGAATAAAATCAATAAAGTATAATAATAGTATAATATAACACGTGCGAGTGTAAATTTAAAACTACATTCTGCAATACAACACGTTCATCTTAACAGACTATTTCATTTACGTTCATGTGATCTATATGTAACAATACAATATGCTTTGGAATGTGGCGCGTTAATATAGTTTAAATAAATAACTTTTTTAAGTTTAAGTCGCGAATCAACAGGTTGTTTACGTCAATGTTTTGATGTCGAAATTATCAATGGTTGGTTTCGGAATGTTTGTAGTGATCTTTTAAACAATTTTTCTTTAACATAAAATTCTTTTTTTTTAAAAATATTTAAAACAAATAAAATATGTTAAATATGACTAATATGTTACATTATAATTTATCATCTTTTGGATCGTGTAAAAATTTATTAACTTTTCGAAATATATATATAAGATACAAAGATATATAATAAATTTAGAATCATATCTGACGAGTTGTATCTACAAAAAAAAAAAAATTGATCACGTCTTTGTTTATTGTTACATCATACCTTATTTCACGAATTCTTATTGGATGTAATGAATCTTCAAAGGCCCTGAAAATTTTCCGATGGTCAAACATATAAAAGACTCGATTTTCTCCTTTCCTCGAACCCTCATAATATTCATATTATATGACCCAGAATTATTGAAAAATTAAAAAAAATTTTTTCTCTTTTTACTCCTCCTATACAAATTCTCTTCAACAAAACATAAAAAAATTTTTTTTCTCACTCGAGCTCATCTCAACATTTTATATCTTTAGCTAGCAAAAAGCTTTTTTTTCTTATTCCGTTGTATTCTTTTTTCCCTTTTTTTTTTTTTTTTTTTTTTTACTTTATCGATTTTTCGTTTTCTTCAAATTTTCTTAAATTTCTCAAACTTTTGGGAAATTTTTACCTGTTTTTTTTTATTATTATTATCTCTTCCGACTATTATTTTTCAATACGAGTTATTGAAAAAAGTACTTTAATTTACTACTCTTTTAAATATTCTAAACTTTCTTATAAGGAATACTGCTACCAATATGTCGGACCGTCCTAGACGTAACATAACTGCATCTGCCACCACTATGCCGGACCGTCCTAGACGTAACTTAGATACACGAAAAACTCCTGCTACCGCTTTGTCGGATCGTCCTAGACGTAACATACCTGCACGAGCTACTGCTTCTAATACTTCTGTTACATCCACTCGGAAGGAGCGAACCACAACGCATAGAACATCTGTCACAAAAAGAAAGCGTAGAGTTGTTGAAGAAGCAGCTTCTACTTCACAGGTTAATATTACTAATCAACCAGCAAGTGGTACAACTGTTGAGCGTCGACGTTCTAAAAAGGTCAAGTTTACTCAAGTAGAAACATCTGCATCTCAGGTTGCTGCCTCTTCAAGGGGCGACCAACCTTCCATTGCCACTATTCAAGAAACTCAAGTGGCTTCTTCTGTCGTCATTCAAGACACCACAATTCCTCAAGTTACAACTACCACTATTCCAGTTATGCGAATACCTCCTAAGAAACGAGGAAGAGGAAGACCACCTAAAGCTTCTAATGGCTCCGTAGTAGGACAAAATTCCAGGAAACGTGGTTATCATGCTGTAGAGGAAGAACACAAGTTTGCATTTAAACCTAAACGTAGAAAAGGTGACACTTTTGCTATACCAATTCCTATTCGTCCTCAACAAGTCGGTCAAGTTTACGCTATTGGTTTGAACGATTGTGCTCAATGTGGTATGGATGAATCAACCGAACATCTTAAAAAAGTAAGGCTCATCCCATCTTTGGGTCAATTCAATATTGTCGATATAAGCGCAGGATCTCTTCATAGCGCGGCACTTACTTCTGATGGTAAAATCGTAACATGGGGATGTAACGATCATGGTGAGTTACCTATATAATAATGTTTTTGTTACACCTTGTCATACTTGATCAATTGTCAATTAATTTCTTTTCTTACATTAAAATAAAAAACTTTAGGCACACTTGGTCGTTTCACTGAAGCTCCCAAGTCAGCATTCGCAAAAGAAATCTTTGATGCAGGAAACTATGAAATAGGTGAAGAAAATAAACCTGCGTATGCTGAAGGTCTTGATAATGTCAATATCGTGAAGATTGTATGTGGAGGCAACGCTACATTCGCTATCTCCGATCAAGGTCATTTATATGCGACGGGAACGTTCAAGGTTTGTTATAATTTATATTTATATATTGTTTATTTATTTTTTTTTGTTTTGCATATGTAAAGTCTCATTTTATGTAACTATGAAACAAATTAGGGCAAAGATGGGATTCTTGGATTTTCTTATGATCATCATTTAGAACAACCAATATTCACACGATACAAACTCTTCGAAAATTTAACAATTGTTGATATAGCGGCAAATGTCGATCATGTCTTAGCTCTCACAACAGAAGGAGACGTTTATTCTTGGGGGAATGGAGAAGCATTTCGTCTTGGCAGAAAAATATCAGAGCGCAAATCGCCAAACCCGCTCATGCCATATGACTTGGGATTAAAACATATTGTCCGAATGTACGCAGGCTCATATCACAACTTTGTAATTGATAATAATGGAAAAGTATTGGTTTTTGGACTTAACAACACGGGACAGTGCGGCATAAGTGCACCGAAACAAGCTATCATCCCCCCTGAAAAGCATTCATTCTTTAACAAAATGGGAGAGGGACAAAAAGTTGAAGAATTTGCAGTTGGAGAACATCATACGCTTGCTCGTACGCAAGATGGTCGAGTTTTCAGCTTTGGACGCACTGATTATGGTCAATTAGGTTTAGGGGATAGCATTCTTCCAGACATTAAAGAAACCAAAGGAAGATTGGTTACTCCGACCGTCATCCCGGGTCTCAGCTCAATAAAATCTATAGGAGCCGGTGATAATTTCTCGATGGCTGTTAAAATGGACAACAAAATTTATGCATGGGGATTTGGGGACAATTATGTTTTGGGAAACAAGAAAGAGGAAGATGCAACATCTCCATTTCTGATTCCTGATTTGGAGGAATTTAAGAGTAAGGATATTGTACGCATAAGTTGCGGATCATCACACGCGTTATTCCTCATGGCAACGGCTTCGAATTTAGGTGGTGATGCGATGGACGTTGATACAAACTAAAAAAGACATGCTAAATATATATATATATTTAAGAAAATTAAAATAGTAGTTTAAATAAGGCTTCTTTAGAGAATAAAGGTTAATATGTGTGGATTTGGTTTTGCTTTGCTTAATTGGTAATTTGGTAATTTCTTAATATTTTTTTTTAAAAAAAAAATAAAATATTTATTTTTTAACATTTGTGTTAAAATGCAAAAAAATTAAACGGTCATTTTAAATGTTAGACGTTCATTTAAAAATAATTGTCTTGTAATAGAATAAATAAATAGACTTGTAACAAAACAATAAAATCATTGGAATTTTGAATTGATCTCGGGATTTTTTTTTTTTTTTTGCAAAAAATAACCCTTTATTACTATGAAATTAACTACACCTTTGTACGCGATCAAGATAATTATACCTTAATTGGTTATAAACAAATAGAAGATCAAAGTTAATACCAAAATGATTATCAAATATTTGTTACTTACTTAGAACATTAGAGAATCTACAGATCAGATTAAATAATTCATCACCATAAAAGGAAATTCAAAATTAATTGATGATTTACTGAATATATTTTAATCGACATCCCCTTTCCTTGAAATTAGTTATTTCATTCCTCCTCTTCCTTAACATCTTTATTAAGGAATTCAAATAATTTGTTTCCAAGATCATTACCAATCATATTTTGTAATTCATCTTTAGATATTTGACCTAATTCTTTTAAATTTTTTAATTTTGACATTATATATCTATAATTATTTGTCGTAACTCCAGGTAATGATCTCAAGAATTCCTGACAGATGATATAGTAATAGATAAGTACATGTAGTAAGTAGAAGTTATAAATATGCAAGCAAGGATTTAAGCTAGGAGAGACAATAAGTAAAGTATACTAGGAAAATGGAAGTCACCTGTGGAGCTACGTTGTAATCGCTTTCAATTGTATGATCATCGGTTTCACCGCCATCCAACCCAACCATTTGCGCTATTTCTAAATTAGGTTCTTCTTCCAATTTCTTAAAATATGATATTCAAAATCAATAATGAAAAAGTCAAGATCACGTGCTGAAACAATTCAATGACATAATACTTACTTTAAGATCTTGAAATATTTCGACGGTGGCAATAGGATTACTTGACCAAATAATTTTCAGTCTTGGAAAGGTTATTGTTAATAATACCAATTTTGATGATATATCATTCATACCTATATCTGATTTGATTTCATTTATAGACTATAGTAAACATATTAGAAATTAGAATCATTATGTTAATCTCGCATACTTTATTGATTTCAAACTTACCTGTAATGTAAATGATTGATTCTTATCGAATTCAATTAACAATATGGGCTGCTTATAATGTATACACATAGCCTCACATTGCGTATACCTAATTTTTTTAAAAATAGTACATTATATACATTACATATTATAAAAATAAAATAAAAAATATAAATATCTTAAGACTTACAATCTTCCTGAATTAAAGCTTCCAAATAGATCAGAAATTGATTTACGTTCAACACAAAAATTAGGTGATAAAATATAATCGCCAATTGTTAAAGTACATGGTAATATTTCGATTCCTGATTGGTGCAATAGTGATGGTAATGAACTACGAAATTCTCTTACATCAATTACAATCTAATTATGAAAATATGGAACGTAAATATAAGGTTTAAAAAGAAAAGGTAAACAATGCATTCAGAAAAAACAATTTCAAAAAGATAAAATACCAGGAAATAATTTTTAGTTGCATTACCTTTGATGGTTCTTTAACTTCTTGTATAATTTTACCACCCGCTATACGTGTATTAACATTCGAAGGTACGTCAGATTGACTATTAAATACTCTCAGAGGTCTTCCCAAAGGTATAGCCATAATCTATCAATTATAATACCAATGACAAAAAAAAATAATATCTTTAGTTATTTCTTCAAAGATCGTGTAAAATCAATGTTGAATATTTACACTTTTTTCTTTAATTAATTTTTCAAACGCTTCTTTTTCTCTACGTATTACACTTAAATATTTTTGTTCTTCAATAGAATTTTCATACATCATAAAATATACTAAACACGGTATATCAGGATGTAGAGTCCGATATACCTAAATAAGATCACGTATTTTACTTAATATTTTTATCCATCAAAATTCAAAATCAAATTCATCATGTCATTAAGATTTCCCATACCTCAACTCTTCTAATAAAAGCTTGATCAGGATGATAAATGATAATATATTTAGGCTTAATAGATTCCAATATTCTATCATCATCATCATCATTTATAGGTCTAATAATAATTGAATCATGTAAATCTAATAATCCAAAATATGCAGAAAATGTTTCCACATCAAATTCATCATCATAATAAGAGCTATGGTGTGTCGTCAAAGCATTGTCTTTCAATGAGCCAGCTACTGCCATAGGAGCCGCAGCAGAACTTGTTTCTGATATGGTTGGGTTTGAGTTTATACTAAATGAGAATAATAGTAAATTGTTACAAATTGATATTATATATTTTGAAAACAAGTATCTCGATGGATAATTACAAATTTGCTATTTCTTGAGCTTCTTCTTCAAGTGTTTTAACATTTGTATTTCTAGTAGTATTAGTTGATAAAGTAGCAGTACTTGATCCACCGCGTACACGTCTTCTTTTATTAGATGGCTGTTGACCACGTTGGAATATCCCTCTTTTTGGTTGTTCATTTCCTAAACAATTTTTAATAATAATAAAAAAAAAGTCCTTTTCTCAACAAAATCTACACTTTTATATTAACTTCAAGCATACATACCTTTCCCACTGTTAATATTTCTTCCACCACCAGATTCCTTATTACTTTCAATAAACATTTTATTACTAACTTTACTCAATCCACTTTTCCACCTAAAATAATTTTTTAGCAACCTTCTCAACATAAAGCCACCTTTACTTAACCCTTGTTGTTCTGCTATGTGCATTGTTGATAAATATTCTCTTAATTGTGAACATTCTCTTTCATTTTCTACCATGATTAATACAGTATTATTATTAGCTTTTCCTTCTGTAGAAATGATTTTATTGTGATTTATTATATCTGATTCAATTTCTTGTAATGTTTCCGCTAATAAGTTCCATTTTGGAAGTTCTTCTAATATAGGTTGTATTCCTGGTGGGAATTCTGACGATGGAGCATCTGGTTGAATTTGGTCTAATGTGCTATTGTTATTTGTGTTATTATTGACATTAGTATTTGTATTTAAAGTACGAATAAATACTCGTCTTCTTGCTGCCTGTAAAAATAAAATTTTATTTAATTCCATTAAAAAAAAAATAACGATGATTTTCTCTTGTAAAGAAAAAAAAAAAATTGAAATAATTACACTAAATATTGTATTTCCAGCGTCCAGAGACAACCAAGGAGATTGTTGTTGATGAGATAAAGCAGAAGTAGGAGTTTGACTTGTAATAATAGTCTCTAAAAAACTATTGAATGATACACAATCATAACCGACCAAGTACCTATAATTTTAAAATAAGTCGATATTATTTTTTAATATTTGTGTCATTTTTTAACTTCTTGAATAAATTTACAGAAATTATTGGTTAATAAATAAGATTTACCCGAGTAATTTTCTCAAGGTTGTTAAATCATTAACCAATAATTTCGTTTTCGAGCTAACACGATGCCAAAAAGGTTCTAATTGTTGTCTCAATATAACATCAAAGGATCTAAAAAATGAATTTTCCACCGTTAAATCATCAACATCTAACTAATTATATATGGTTATGCCACATATATTTGATATAATTTTGGTTTAGAAAATTTTCGATATGTATTAAAAAAAAAAAAGGATAAAAAGGCATTAATATAACTTACCCAATTTCCATTTACTTTTTTTATTTCGCTTAAACAAGCTTCAATACATTCAGTAATAGCCGCTTGTATCTCATTCATTGATGGACTTAAAGATTGATGTAATTCTATTACATCAGCTTTATGTTGTTCTAAACAATTTCTTATAATCACATGGAATCTGCGTGAGATTATCGAAAGCGAAGGAGAAATAAATGAGCGTGATAAGTTGTGTCAATTAATTTAATTGAATAAAGTCAGGTCATTAAAATTGTCAATAAAGGTGAATGCAACAAATGAGCGAACAAAAAAAAATTTTGTTGCAAGTATCTAAAACAAACCTCGGATACAAGTAAACTTTACGTAATTGAAGTAATTGTAATGTAGTTTGTAAAGGTGATAATCCTGAAGAAATAAATGATTCAGGTGAATCTGAAAATGCTTTAACAAACCCTTCCTTTAATTGATACAGTAATATTTTTAAAACAAGATTGCAAAAAAAAATATATATATATATTTTCATTAAAGTAAAATGTTATAATGGAATAATATAAGAAGTAAATAAATAAATACCTTATTTTCTTCTTTAAATATTCTCAGGATAAATGCTTCAGTTGAAGTTTCATTTACCCTAAACAAACATAAGAAAAATAATATACAATGTTATCAAAATAGAAATTTTGAGAAATTTATCATTAATCCCGATTAAAAAATATTTATATATATGAGATACCTTTCGGCATGCATAATTAAAATTCCCGTTATAAGATAAGTTGGTATACGTTTTTGTAAAAGGTCAATTATAAGTATTCTTGAAGTTATAGACAATATGCCACCAGAAACGTATAATTCGGATCTATGATTAAGGAAAATTGTAAAATTTACTATTAAATTAATCAATTATATTATATTATATTATACATATATATGATAATGATCTTGTAACTTAAAACGAGTACATTCGCTCTTTCCTAACCCTTCTTTTTTTTTATTATCCAAAAACATTTTTTACCTTTCTTTAGCGTTAGATTCATTATTAACAACTCTAAGTCCTGGTTTTTTAACCCCACCTTCAGCAATTTCTTCTTTAATACAACTTAATTCATGTCCATTAGCATTCAATAATATTACTAAAGATCCTCTATCCGAATAAATCCTTATCAATGCACATATTATTCTACGTAAACCCAATCCGCGACTTAAAATAAGTAATCCGTCTTCAGATAATATTTCTTCAAGAATGTAACGATGAAATTCTAATGGAAGAGTAGAAGGGTTTGGAAGGTGAATTGAAGATATATGAGATGAGTCTGTTAATGAACAAGGGAAAGAATTAATTGTATTAGAACAGGAATTAAATCTCGATTTGAAAAAAGATAGTTCTATTTGAGAGCGTGTACCTGTAGAGGTTTCAGCTGGAAGACATTTTTCACCTGTAAAAGAATAATTAATTGAACTAGACATGTCGATTTTACAGATTTACGAAATTATTTCGGTCGATCTGAATCTCTTTTTGTAATATTAATTTCTTATTGGATGATATTGAATATCACGCCTATGAATATTATCTAACTGAATAAATTTTAGGATGAGCTGGGTGTTTTGTCAACATAGTAAAATTTTACTATTGAATTTTTTTTGTATTACAGCATCAATTATAATATAGACTATTTCATTGGTAATGACATATTTGCATGAGTTTTAAGATCAAGCTTGTTGAAAGACCTTTGATTTGCTATAATATAATAAATATGATTTTTGATGAAATTATAAATAGTAGAAAAATGATAAATTGGATCATCACAAAATTGTATAAATTTTTCAAGAAAACCACTGTCTTGATATAACGATTTGTTCAAACCAAAGTCATATTATTATTCCATTTATTTTATCATTTTTCAAATTCTAAGCAAATTGCAATTTCAAATCAGAAGATGGAGAGATTCAAGGTTTTTGAAGAATCAAAACTAGATGCAAATGATCATCCATCCTCTAAGCTAACAAACTGCTAATGGTAAATAACAAACCTATAGCTTTCAAAAGCTAATCTAAAAAAAAAAATAGCAAAGTTTCTAGTAAGGTTTTAAAGAAATCTCATTTAAAAGCCTTATCTGATTTTTCATAAGCATATTAATCTAAAGGTTATATAATTAACTCTCCATTTTATATAATCATGAAGTAGTATTTTGTCTTATTATTAATTGCATCAAGGTTCATAAAAATGTTTAGCAAAGTTAGCTAAGCATTTAACTTGAATATTTAATTTGGAATTAATCAGTCAAGTTTCAAAAAGATACTAATCTATTGAAATAAAATTTAGATGATTTTTTATACTTTTTCAATTCTTCAATAAACCATTATGCAAATTTAATATAAATAGAATGATGATCAAGATATTGTTTAACTGTTCACAATTTATTATTCTAACAAGAATAAAGAAGTAACTGTTATTGATCGTAATGATATTCTAACAATCCATCATATAACTCTTGAATAATATAAGCATTTATGTTGAGTAGTTTATTTTTATCACTTGAATTATAACTATTATATAGCTTCTATGTTAATAGAGTAAATTGTATATACAGTCGCTACTGGTTATACTGAACTCTCCGTTCTGAAAGTTTTAGTTCAGTATATAATGAATTTGATATACAGTCAACTCTTGTTATAGCGAACTCTTGATATAATGAATTTTTTGAACAAATATAATAAAAATACTCTCGTTATAGTGAATTGGCCAATCAAATCTCTTAAAATCTTCACTATAGCCTTATAGCGAAATTGAGGTCTAGAACATAGAGTTCGTTATAATAAGAGTTGACTGTATAATATTTATGTTATATACTAAACAGTTTAGTATAAAATATTAGCGAATAAAATTGTGAACACGTGATTATTTAAAATTTTTTTACAAATATGAAAAATTAAAATCTCTTTATTACTATTATATTAATATTTATAACTATATTATATTAATAAAAATTAAAATACTTTAAAACTATTTAACTATATTACACGTTATCAAAATAATCTTGAATATTGACTTGTTTAAGATTATTTATAAATTTACAATTTTAAGGGTAAAGAGCATTAAAATTTATTTAAAAATACAAATTTTAAAATAATAAATGTGATTAGAAAGATATATACAAACAAAAAACAAGTTAGTGATCTTGATATATTTATATGATTTTATAATCTTTTTTATTAATAAAAGCTATTTTTTTATTTATCTACTTCTAGACCTCTTAAGTTACCTATTAAGATACTGAAAATACTTTCCTTTTATATTTATTTAATGATCTTTTAAAATATCATAGTAGTATAAAAAAGGTATTATGTAATGTAGTAAAAATTTGCAGTTAATTTCAATTAGCATTATAATATAATTTTAGCTGATTTTAAGTCATATGATTAAGAATTATCATAAATCTATTATATAGCTTCCATTATTTAGTCTTAATAATTTCAAAAATTAAGATGTCAAATTTTTTTAAAAAATCATATGATAATTTGGCTTATATTAAGCATTAAACATAATTTTGACTAAAATTAAAAAAAATTTATTTGATATTATTAATGATTGATTTAGAAATTACATAATGCCTTTTAAATTTTTTAACTGTATATTCTACTTATTTTATATTTATTCTATTTTTATACATATTCATATATACTCTAATTTGTGATATAAAAATTAAATCTAATGCAACAGAAATAACTTATTTTAAATTATTTTATATACTAGGTAACAGGAATCATTATAATGTTTGAAGTGTTAATTTACTAATTTACAATTTACAATAGGTACATGTATCACAGCAAAATCATACATGTCAAAAATATTGTATTTTATTTTTTGACAAAAAAGTTTTTTTGAAATTCTGAGAACTATTTAAAATTTCTGATATAGCATATTTCTGGTAAAAATGAATTTTTAAATCCTAAAAAAATTCTTATTTAAATAGATTTTATACGTTAATCAGCAATTATTTTGGGGTATTATAAAGATCAACCAATTCTCTTCGATTATTCTCTCATGTAACCTCTTATAATTTTAATGCAGTAGAGTCTTTCGAGTGAAAACAGGCTAAAAAGAATATTATTGAGAGTAAGAACCTGAGATATTGTCACAAATAAGAGGCCAGCAGCAAATTTCTTTCTTCTAAGGTCTATCACAGCCTTTTCTAATGTTAGACCTTAACTTTTATGCACTATAATTGCCTATGCTAGGTAAAGCAGAATCTGCAAATGAGAGCAAGGGTCTTTTTTCTCTTCTCAAATATGCCTAACTGATACAATCAGAATGAGTTTTTTCCTATCAGCAGTCAGGATAACAGGGCTAGAATAATTATCAAACTTCACTATAACAGTAATAGGAAGAGAATGAAAAGGTGGGGACTGATTTTCTTTGAAAATAATTTCTTGAATAATGCTTACTGAACTATTAATTAAACCAGTCTCAGTCCATAAGTTAGTCTTAAGCATTACCCTTAAACCTCTCGTTAATAATAAAAAAGGCTCAAGGCCTTTCGCTATATCAGAATCAGCTTTATGAGCTTCAACTCCAATATGAACAGCATTAATTCTGGCAATTGAGGAATTCAAGGATCTGAGTTTATTAATTTTAAATTCTTTAACATTAGATCTACACAGTATAATAGATGTGATATCAGAGAAACAAGTATGATCTAATAAGAATAACACGTTTAGAGCATTAGAAAATTAAGTAGCAAGTAACATTCAGTCATTTTCAGTAGATTCAGCATCATGCAAACGCAATAGGAGATCTCTAAATCTATGTTGTTCATTCAAATCATCTGATTAATATTAAATAATACTAAGATGATAAATCTCACAAAACTGTTGATAAACTGTAATAGCATCATTTGATAGAGAATCTCATCAAATGACTTGAGAGTATATCAGTTCATCTAGTACAGGAAGAAGTTGATCAAAGTCCCCAATCAGAATTATTGAACGTCTACCAAATGCATGATTTCTGCATTCTAAGAAGGCTTGTCGTAAACGCAAATCAATCAATACAAGTATGCGATGACTAACTATACTCTTTTCGTTAATAATGAGATAGTACACATTATCTAATTTACTTTACAGCAAAAACTCTCTTCCATCAATCACTTTTCGAAAATAAAGTCTAAGAAAATAAAAATATTTACCTTCAAAGTTCTATTATATTTTTGACTCCGTTAGTTAGTCTTATAATTCTATAATAGCTTAAACACACTTTCACAACCAGGAAAGAGTTTATTTTAGAAGTTACTTTTATTCATTATAGTTAGAAAAAACCAAAACAAACAAGTGTCAATGAAAAATAAGCATCGTTTCAATCTAATAAAACACCAACAAACTCTCAAGACACCAGTTGCTTCAACCTCTAGCTCTGGAGAATAGTTAGACCCGTCCTCAACTTTAGATGCTGCCCTTATCGAAAACTTTTTCAAACCACTAACTCCTACTCCCCCCAACGTCTTGGATAAAGACAAATACCTTCTCATAGAAGATGACTCTAATATGAAAATGGATCAAAACAAAGACTTCACAGTTATTACTCGTTCAACCCCATTTGCTTGCACAGCAACTATTCCCAAAAGTCCCAAAGACCTCCCCACTGCTACTATTTCGAAGATTACTAATGCTCACTTCGTCCTTGATGACACGTTCAGGAGGATTAATGTCTACTACATTAACCTTATTCAGTCGATCGTGATCTACTTTAACGATCAGCAATCTATGAAATCAGCCCTTAATGCGAAATTTTTCGATTTGGATATCAACCAGCTGGTTCAGTATGTGACTTACAAAAAAATATGCAGTTCCCTCAATGCACACTTCATATCACTGATATCCATCTTAACCTTAAAAAGAAACAGCTCACCAACATATTTGCTAAATATGGCAAGATAGTTACTGTATAAATGTTCACCAGAGATCTTTGGCAGCAAGCTTACATCACTTATGAAGATCCTAAAAGTGTCGATCTCTTTCATACTCTGCTAGGAATCTGCAAGACATCACCTTAGCTACCAAAGCTAAAGCCCTCTACATTTCTCATTCAAACAATTATAAACCTCAACTCTTCACAGTCCTTTACTTCAAAACAGAAGCAGACCTTAACAATGCTATTAAACAATCTTTTGCGTTCAGCGATAACGAACTCCAATGGTGCTTAGTTGACGTGAGATATTATTATAAATGTGGTTTTCTAGAACATATTGTTATGAAATGCCCCAAATTATTCCATCAGTAAATGACGATCCTGTCGATTAACCTAAAACTCTAATTTACAAGCTTCTCTCTGTTCAAAACTATACATTCACTTCAAGCCAGCAGGATCTAGATCCTTGATCACGAGACACAATAACTGCCAATCTAACTACAAACAGTCATCCTTTCCCAAAGAGGAAAACAAATCTGCTACAGATAAAGGCAAAACCAAAGACAAAGGCCTTGCAGGTTCTTCAATTGATGACTCAGTTCATAATCCCAAAAATAACAATAATACAACCAATGATAAGCTAGATAGAATCCTCAGTATACTCGCGGGCATGCAAAAGGCTATGTCTAATCTTAAAACTCACATTGCTAAGCTAAAAAAGGCTCAATTAACTATCTATACCTCACCTTTCTCTTTACCGTCAAGCGTCCTGAATAATGGGCCTATTGCACAGCAATCTGCGTCTACCTCTACCCTCCAAAAAAGAATTTGTATTACCAATTCCTTCTCAGATGAAAACTTTAATAAATCACCAGTTCTCATCGACTTTAAAATACAAGCAATTATTAATAAACAAGCCTCTGTCATCGCTGATCAACAGAAGCAGTTACAGCTCGTTAATGCCTAAATACTTAAAATCATAGCTCAGGTGCAAAAGCCATCTGATTCCTTCCCACAATAACTTCATCCATTACCTAATCCACAACCATAATTAATAATAATACAAATATCGATAAAAATAATAATTATAATAATAAATATATAGAACATTCCATTAATAATCAAAATAATTCAAAAGGTACACCTACTATATTTTTTGCTACCCATAATGTAAATTCACTTCAATGTTTAATGAAAAACCAATTTATTAATGATATATTTACAGATCTTAAAACAGATTTCGTAAGTCTTACTAAAATTCGACACAAGTCTGACTAATCCTTTCATTATACACACAACCCTGATTACACTTTTTTTTAGAGTAACCGCTTTAACTCACATGTCAGAGTTGGCATTCTCGTTAAAAAATCCTAGGCTGTGTACATCCAAAAAGTCTATCTGGATAATGATTGATTTATCTACATAGACTTGTATTTATCTGGACATACCAAACTTTGCATCTTCTGTGTCTATTTACATGCTTCAACTGAATCTGATATCAAGACAAAACGGCTCAAACTACACAAATTAATCATCAAACATGTTTATGACAGCATCAGAGCGGATTTTAGAACTGTTATCTTAGGGGATTTCAACGTGAATCTCGATACCTACTAGTCACAAGTTAACAATAGCAAAGCCTTACACTGGCAAATGAACTTTTACAAACAGCTCTTCACATTGAACTTTCTAGACCTTTATGACGTTTGTCATAATACACCCCAATTCACATACCACTTAAGCTCACGTAGTTCAAAAATTAACACCATTTTTGTCTTACCCAACTTCACTTCAGAATTCCTTTATTCATACTTAGATCAGCCAGTTCTCTACTCGCCTGACCATAAAATCATTTTTATGATATTCGCTAATTGTCATACGCAATTAAATGCTCGAGGTCGTACCTTACAAAATAATGATAAATTTCTAATTTAAGAGTTATGAACCTATCCAAATAGAATGAATTCGCTATGCACACTGATTTTCATTATAGATGTCACAACCTGGATTACTTCTCGAACCTCTTCACTAACAGATGCAATATAAACACTCTATGAACAAATATTAAAACCACCATCCTAGCTGCTAACAGATGTGTCATACTTCAAGTTTGGATTTCCTTACAACAAAGAGATAAATGACCTTTTGATTAGCCCCCTCTTTCATTGCAGCTAGGAAAGTTAGCTCATTTCTGCTCTGTTTTAAAAACTCACTTTTACGTACAAACTGTTAGCCTGAATCCCTCGAATGGTCCTATATCAAGGATAATATAAAAAAGTTGATCGCAAAATTAAAACTTCCTATGTGTTACTTTACTTTTTCTCTGCGAATTGATAATATCAATAATGTCAAATTAAAAATTAAGGATCTTCACAAATCTTTAATAGCTTTAGCTAAAATTGAAATACAAAAAATAAAAGAATCAGCTATCAAGTCCTTTATAAACAAGTAATGTGACAACCTGCAAGATGACCCCTTTAAAATGATTGCCTCTATCTTGAATCAGAAGAAACGATCCATAGTGCTCAATAGATTGCTTATCACAGACAAGGACTCAGGTGATAAACATTTCACCATCGAACCAGAAGAAATCAAGAGAGCCACAATTGATCATTTCTAAAACTTTGCTGTCCCTCAACCTTGTATACCTTATGCCTCTCAGATGATCTGAGCAATATAAACCTAAGGATTACGTTAAGGAACAACACTATTTCAATCTCATGCAACCTCTCACATATGATGAATGGCTTGCTATCCTTAGAACACTTCCCAATAATAAAGCAGCTGGTCCCTCTGGCATCACTAATGAAATGATTGCTCACCTTGGAAACAAGCTTTATTGACTTCTTTGGAAACTTATTTGCATATGCTTCACTATAAGTGACATCTTCAACGAATGGAAAATTGCTCACATATACCCCATTCTCAAACCCATG